TGGGGGGGGGGGGGCTGCAAAGAGATTCAGTCCATTCTACTTTTAATTGACGGGGAGAAGAGTTACCAGCTATAGAATAATTTGTGCTTCAGATCTGTTGTCCTGGTGCATCTATATAAATGTATGTTACTGAATAAAAGCCAAAGGAAATAAGGTCACTAATTGAAATATATTACAGAAAATTAAACTTCCTCTGATGGAAATGAATTTTACACTTTTACGATGCAGATATGCAGTGATTCTATTGTTACTTTCTAATAATAACGTAATTGTTTTCTTTTTCATTTAGCTTATGACTGTGAATATTACAATCAAGGTATGTAGTATTTGATATTACTGTCTTTCATTCATCCTCCTACTTATATACCTTGCTGGATACAATTATTTTTCATGTTTTCTAGCATACCAGCTAGCTATGTGCTAGAAACAAGTCTGTATGCCTTGGTTCAAACATGGAATCCATTTTAATAAAGCATTTAGTTGCAAATAAGCCACTGACTTAAAGAAAAGAAGTTCTCACTTTGACCACTATAGAATATGGAAGCTAGCTTTGACATACTATTCTATTATCTTTGTTTCTGTATGGCACTGTTTTGGGTTTTTATCTCTCTCCCCTACTTATTTTGTGTCTCTTTTAAAAACACAATCCCAAGAGATGCTGTTCTTATATCAGTTCACTCAGATTAACCCTGAGAGAAAATACAGTTTGGAAATTTCTCTCTTTCATAGGTTAGAATTTTTTTTTTTTTTTTTTTTTTTTTTTCCGAAACATATATTTTTTTAACAAAAGAAAAAGCTATAGAATAATGTAAATAGAGCAGGCTGATTGTTACCCAGAAGACGCTCTCAAAGTACTGTTTTTTTTTTTTTTTTTTTTTTTTTTGGGTTCTCCTGATTAGGGTATGTGAGTTTAATGAGCTCAGTAAGTTAGTAAAGCATGTCCCCATGGGTCATTCTGATATATGTCCAGGGATAGTGGTGGCATGGAAACAAACATAGTAGTTGTAAGCAAAATGACACATCTGGCATCTCAGATGAAACATGACACAGTGCACACTGCAAATAAAACCCTTTGCTGAGGAGAATCTCTGTCAGCTGCAGCAGTGTTGGAGGTTGTCTTCCATTCTTCCCATTCCCCGGGGTAGCATTGCATAGTCACAATCCCTCAAGCTCACTTAGCTCCCTCAAGCTCTGTTAGAAAGGAGAGGTGGCTTAATGAACCTGAACCTGTAGTATTATATGTCATTTTGTCACATATTCATTGCCTATTTGAGATCATTATGTTATTATATTGACATTATCTTCCCTCCTGTTTTGCTATGGATATCTAAAAATACTGTTTTTCTGTGCAATATCTCATGTATTATTTGAGATTTGTCCTGTATAAACACAGAAAACCCTACATTAGTAAGGGATTCAAATACTGACACCTTAATGGGCATCTTGCAAGGTTATACATGGTTATTACCATTTAAATTTTCACTTCTTTGAACTATAACAGCCTTTGGCACAGGAAAATTCAAGTCTTTCTCCAACAATGAATAGTGTCGATATAAGACGTCTCTGATGATGCTGAGTTAAGATTAATCAGAATAATAATTAATTTGGTATGATTTTTTGAAAACGATTAAAAACATTCTAAATTTCATGAAGATTTTTTCACACTGTGCAATTATCTTCTAGGTTTTCATTCTGAAGTGGCTTGCTTTGTTTAATTTTTCATTCTTACACTGACATCTAAAAGAGATTGCTCTGGTCCAATTAAAAACTTAATTGAATTAATTGATGGGCTTTTTTCTTTGACTTGGTATATGTATTTTTAACCTTGCTTCTCTTTGTAGTCGGTGAAGGTCAGTAGCCCAGCTACATTAAATGATATTAGTATTCCCTGATGTCTCAATGAATAACCTCGTCATATTCAAAGTGGGGGTGGATTAATGCCCCATGCAGCATATATTGGCAGCCAGGGAGAAGCTCTAGGAAGACATTAGCTTGTGTTTGTACAGTAAATTTCAGAACTGGGACCCATTATATTTTGCATCTCACAAATACTGTACTATAAAGAACAGCTCAGTAGAATGAGAGTGGTATTCATTTAATAAACTAAATTCCTGTGGCATTCCTTCTTAGATTTGGATACTGTGCATGTATTTTGTGGAGCACGAGATATTAAAAAGGAAGGGAAACTTGACTAAATGTAATGATATGAATGTGGCTTTTGATACATTTTCTTAGCGACTTGTATCCTATAATGAACATCATACAACATATGATTTATTTTTTTTTCTCCTCCAAGAAGTCTGGCCTATTACAGTAGCAGTTTGTAGATCCTGCTAGGTATAGCTGATTTTCCATAATTTCCTTGCAATAGGGCACTTTGTCTTCTTTAAAAGTACTGGTTTTGGCTGGGACAGACTTAATTTTCTTCATAGGAACTTGTATGGGGCTATGCTTTGTTTTTGTGATAAAAACAGTGTTGATAACACTCCTGGGTTATCTACTGCTTGCACAGCAACAAGGCCAATTCAGCTTCTCACACCACCCTGCCAGACACCAGGCTGGGGGTGCACCAGAGGTTGGGAGGAGACACAGGAGGGACAGCTGACCCCAACTGACCAAAGGGGTATTGCAGAAAATATGACTGTTGTGCTCAGCGATAAAAAATGTCAGGGAAGTGCTGGGGCTGGCATTGCCTGGGGTCAGCTGGTGGTGAGCAACTGGGCTTTCGCATCATTTTCAGAACCATTTGCTTGGTTTTGTTTTCCTTTGATTCCTCCTCCGCGTTCCCCCCTTACCTTATTAAACTCTCTTTACCTCAAGTAAGCCCATGAGTATTTGCAGTTCTTCCCCCCACCCCGATTCTCCCCCCCCCATCCCACTTGGGAGGGAATGCACGAGTGGCTCTGTGGTGCTTCACTGCCCACCAGAGTTAAAGTCAAGAATGGCATTATTTCCACCACCAAGTGCCAGCAAAACACTTTTTGGGACTAGGATGGCTCCTTCTCTCATTCTTTTTTTTTTCTGCATGATGTCAAACTGTTGAATCTTTACAGAAACTTTATCAATTACAGCTCAGCCCTGCTTTTGCTCAAGTCGTAGGCAAAATATCTGTTAATATGTAGGGTAAACATCCAATGATTTAGAATGTGTCTTTTTAAGATAAATTCCCTCATCGCTGCTTTAACAGGTGGTTATTTTGTTGCAAGCTTGTGAGCTTCATGTGCCTTTGAGCTCCAGCATAGTTTCAATATAAAAGCAGTGGTTATTTTCCTGCAGTTTACTTCAGAAATTGGTGTTTAACTTCTAGCTGAGCCAAATCTCATCATTATGAAAATTCTGTCCCTCTTGGAAGAGTTGTATTTGTTGGAAGGAGTTGTCTTAGGCTGGGAAAATGGTTCACTTAGGATTAAAAGCTTTCACAAAACTTACACATTTTGTTTATTACTCACAAGGTAAGGTTTTACAAGCATGCTGCTCTTAGTTCTTTCAGTGGGATACAGCTGCTGATATATATAGCATATATAGCAGATGGATGCTGTTGTATCTGGATGTATCCCAGTGAGCCTTTCCAGCCCAGCAGAAATAGCTCCAGGGGTTTGTTGCAAGGCATGGTTAGGCCAGCACCATTTTGGCAGTGGTACCAGTTGAAGCTGTTGTCACCATTATACTGGCATGAGCTTTTGAATGACAATGTGGTGAATCAGGCTGGAAAAATTAGCTAGTTATTTTTCAGCTGGATCCCTTCACTGCCGAAGCACTTAAGATGGCATCATAAATGGGGCAGTAGAGGGGCAGAATCAAGTATTTTGTGGGAGAGGATGAGCTGCTTACAATTCTGCTTACGGTAGACAACTGAATTGCCTTGTAGATATTAGAGTAGTTTCAGTGTCTATTTGGGGAATAATATTAAAGTTGCTCTGTTGATCTTTCGAATTATAGAAATAAGGACATGTAAAAGATTAGAGACAAAAAAAAAAGCAGCCCAGATTGCTTTCTTGTACAGGTCATTTTGTAAGGACAGCCAGCCACTTGTGAGGACAGCCAAAAGGAGCCACTTTTTTGTGCTCACATTGTATCTGTTGTGTTCTGGACAGCTAGCAAAGAATTAGGGAGTACGTTAAACAGACAAGTACGTACCTACACCAGCAAAATACCTTGAGGTATTGAGCTGCAGTTCCAAATTTATTTGATTCCAGGTATGGTGAAATATTTAATGCAATATATTATGTCAACTAAGACTTAAGTTTAATTTTTTTCTATGTGATTTTTCTTCCCTTAGGTCTTGGTGAAGGACCCTATGTTTTGGCAAGTTATGGAGAGAATGACACAATTATAGGAGCTAATGTATCCAGTAGAAGGATATTTCCCCTGCCTAGAACTGGAGCATATGGAAATGTATTTTTCAGTTTCATGATAACTCCAGGCCTTTTCAAAGACAAAGATTTATGTAAGTATTCTCAACAATTTTGCTAATGGCAATACATGTATTTCAGACTATATGAATTATTTTTCCTGCATCTTCTAAATCTCCTAAAATAGTCTAGATATTTTTAATTATTGGAATAAGTGAGGATGATGCAGTCAATTTCAAAACGAAGGATGAATACAGATCTTTTAATATTTATTTTTTAATATTGGAAAACCTCACTGCCAGCTTTACAGCTGTCTTTTCAAAGATTGTTTAAGAAATATCGCAAAATATGAATGAATAGAATTCCTTTGTTAAAAAAAAAAAATCATTACTTTGTACAACTGGAAACTGGAAAATTTTGCACATGTATCTAGCAAGTATCAATTCTGATGGTGAATGCAGGACATTTTTCGGCTCCAGTAAAATCACTTCTACTTTATCTTTTCTTCTGTTTTGTGACTTTCAGTGTACTATAAAATGTGCAACTTAGATCAATCAATCTTTCTCCTGCTTTGTTAGTACACAGCATCTCCATATAATGTAGAAGGAAATTTCTTAGGTGAATATCTATTCCTAAGCTCTATTTTTCACTTATTAGAGTCTGGTACAAACTATACAACCAAAAATAAATACATTTAAATACTTTTCTTTCTGTATATATTTTCCTTTCTTCACTTGTATTGGGTTTGTGCCAATTAAGTCCCTACAGATTTTGTCATTGCTTTCTCACATAATGTAATTTGTTGAAAAAATCCCTCAAAAATCAACATAGAGGAGGGCTGTCTTCACAGCAAAATTTGAAACTATATTGATGAACAGTTGACAATTTTGCAGTGGAGTAATTAGGGTTTTAGATATGATTTTGAAATGAAAAAGTACAGAAAAATTAATTCAATCTTGTCAATTCTTCAACCAATGTAAAATGGAAACAAAACATTAATGATATCTGTGCAGTAGGCAGGTAGTTTTCATATCTGTGAGGAATGAGATAGTATTCACCTAGATTAAAGACACTTCAAGATCATATTCAAGTTGAAAACCATCTGAAGTTGGTCCTCTTCTAAGTTCTTAAATTTTCAAATAATTTTTTTTTTTTTTTACTTTTGATTTCTTGCATGGGTAGGGCAAACAGAGGTTTGAGTCTTTGATTTGGCCACAATTTTTCTTACTGTATTTCTGGATATGTCTGTATGTAAAAAAAGCCTCACCATAAGGTGAAGTCAAGCATGTTCTTACAATATTTGTGTCATGTTATTTATGAATGAAATCTTGGTACAGGTGAACTGTCAGGATTTTGTCTGAATTTGAGAAAAAGTTCCCAAAGTGAGCAAGTCCCAGTTTGAGACTGTTTATGAATTATTTTGAAGGTTGGTAGCAGTAGGCCGAATGCAGTGTTGATCTAACTGATTAGGTCTCTGGTGGCTCTGGATTACGTGCTTATTTGACGTCTCCTTTAGACTTTGCATTTCTAACCTTTTTTTGAGCAATATGAAACTGAAATTATTTTTGTGAAAAGTAGCTGTTTCAAAGGAACCACTTAACAGCCAATATAGAGATTTTGATCTCAACTTTTAAGTTGTTTTCTGTGAAAATCTTACTATTTTTTTTTTCTTCTGTGGAAGCACTCTCTCTTGTTTCTCTTGAATCTGCTGAAAGACCAAACTACTTTCTGTACGTACACAACAATGAAACCATTGGGTTGGAACAGTGGCAGGCAAGTGCCTCCTTTCGGAGACGAGCCACCTTCTTCCACCACCACGGCCTCTGGAGTCCAGGGCTCAGCACCTTCGAACTGCACAGTAAAAAAGGGTTTTTCATCATTCTCACCTCATCTGGTGTTAAAGTGGCAAAGTACGATGATTCAGAACAATTCAAATGTTTGAGTAGCTTTAGTATTGAAGGTAAATTTTGCATAATCCCCAGGAATAAGTATGGTTTCTTCTGCTTGCCTTTAGAGCACTTTCATCAGCAACAGTAACAAAGGTTTTTTTATCCTATTTTTAATTATTATTCTACCCCACCTCCAAATGTTACTATTTTCTAATTTTTGCAGATATGATGATTAATTATCTTTGGGATATATTTTCATTGTTTTACTCTTTTAAAATGAACGTGGCATGTCATAAAAAGATTTGTGTTAATGTCTTGTTAGCTATAGATGCTTATTGTTTTAAATGAATGGAGTAACTGTATTGCCTCTGCAATCAACAGTACTTCACAATGGTTAATTGATTTTTAAGGTTTTAAAACATAATAGATTGTACTAGTAAGTAGCTGTTTCTATCTTTGAAGCATCAGTGTCTTATAGCTAGATTGAATTTGAAATACTTGAAATTTTAAATGAACAAAATCTCACCTATTTGAAAGTTCTCAAGGATTTCTCTACTTGGTTTTCATTTTTTTTGATTTTTCTGAAGATCCCAAAGTAATTATAGAAAAGACTATAAATTTATAGCTTATGACTACACAATCAATAAATACTACCTGTTCCTTCTTTCTCAGAACTTGATGCATCTGTGCCTTATAGAAGAATGTGTGAATGGCGATATGAATCCTGTGCTAATCCTTGTGTTAAAACTTGTAGGGATCCTGAAGGAATAGCGTGTAAATTCCTTCCTCCGTAAGTCAAATTAAGTTCAGTATTGCTACTATATTGGTTTCGTTTTGTGTTATGTGTACCACATGCTTTCTGAAAATTACTGCAGCTGCAATATCCATTCATTTTTGCTTATCCAGATTTCAGTATCACTCTTGCAAGCAGCTCTCACAAATCATGTGAAAGCACTTGTAACAAGCCTCTTGTTTCCTGCAGTATATATTCCTGTTTACATGCAATCTTTCAACACAAGAATAAGAGGGTTTGTATATAACCCAGGGGATTAGCTTCTGGTAGTGGTTAGGTAGAAACCTTTAAATTAAATGAAGGTTGTCCTCTTCTATGGATTTATATTCACATCCTAAACTAGCATCCCATGATGCTATAAAGGACTACATCTTTCCAGTGTTCTTATGACAGCTCAAAAACTGGAGGAATTGTAAGGGTGGACTACGCCCTCTCCTGTAAGAGGAAGGAACTTTACACTAACTGGTGCTCCTTGGCACGAGGTGAGGGATTTCACACTGCTGATGTTATACTGTTAGTACCGAGATTTCTGGTCTCCCTGGCATCTGTAGAACCACGATTTTTAAAAACAAACTAAAAGGAAAAATGCCTAAAATCTCAAGGCACAAAACCTGGTGGAAAGGAAATGGTATTTTGAATTTCATGCTATCTCCCTTGGCATATGTGGTTTATGATTTGGAAAATTACTAGTATTGCTAACTTTTTCTGGTGCTATTCTTAGCTTTTTTCATATGGGCACACTGGTGGTTAATTTAATAATAAAATTTAAAAGGTATGGGACTTGTCTGCACTTGTCTACTCAGAAAGTGCACAAGAATGAGACTTTCTATAGAATCCATTTCAATATTGTAATGTCTCAGAAGGTAAAACAGTTGTCTTGTAGTGAAGTTCTTTGCCCTGTGGGAAACCTTTCTGCTTAGGGATCTAAACTTCTACCTGTTTATGGAAGCAAAATTGTCCAAAGCAATTATGTTCATGAGCCTATGCAAAGAATTGATTATTAAAATTTTAAAAACAGAATTGTGCTGTTCAATATCTTATTGACCTTAAAATGCCTCAAAATGCTGTGTGCATCATTACACTGGAAAGTTCTCAGAACTCTGATGGGGAAGAAGTTCGAATGTTTCATTTTGAAAAGTGAAATAATTTAAAATTAATTTATATTTCCGCTGTGCCTTTAAAATTAACTATGCAATATTTTAAAGGGTTGAAGGATGCTTGCCATACTGTCCCAAAAACATGATCCTTGATGAGGTCACACTTAAATGTGTTTATCCAGAAGACTGTAAGTATATTTTATTATATTGGTCTAATCTTATAAATCACTCTAGAGATCTCAGGAAAGGTTTTAATGAAATGTAGATTGTGGTATGGGTTCTTTATTAAATATCTCTCTGGGACGTAGACTCCGTTCCCAGCCATCCAAAATACATCTCTTACATCCAAACAAGCCATATCTAAGGTTGAATTCTTTCATTTTTCTAATACTGTGTTAAATTTAACTTTTTGTGATGGTGCTATAGTCATCACAATTATATTTGATTATATACTGCTAGTATGTCATATGGATATAAGAGAAAGATCCCAAACAGAAGAAATACTGCTGTGGCGAAAAGTTCAGACTTTTCAGTTGATGAACTACCATTAACAAATTCAGTGCATACATTTCATAACTTTTGGTGTGTGAAGTTACTACATTATTTGCTTATTTTGGGGATAGAGTATTCTTTTAACATACAAATTACATTTTAATACCATCTCTCATTTTATTTTACAAGTTTTGAATTAAATACATTATTTTTGATATTTGCTAGTATAAAGTTATTTCATATAGTATACTACCTTCCAAAGATATAAAAGGAGATAACATATTTTATATTTATTCCAAATATTTTACTATTTTGAATTTACTGAATTTTCCATGGAAATCTCTTGTTGCTTCAAAACTGCTCTGCACAATCAAGGTTTTCACTAATAATAAACAATTTGCAAAGAAAATGAGAAAACTTATTGAGTCAGCTGTGTTTCTCAAAGTCATCAGACAACCTGGAACCATTGGCAAGTTATCTTCTCAGAAAAATGATGCTCTGATTTTCTAATATTTAAATGGGACTTGAGTAGAGAGAGATGTTGCTATTTTGCTTTACCAATGATCCATAAAAGACAGTAAAACATGCATTTTTCCTTTTAGGCATACCTGTGACTCCTACAGAATCAGCAACTGGAACAAAACCTTCACTGTTAATCTCACACACAGGTGCTACCACACAGAGATTTCCTCAGACACCTCCTCTATTTGTTACTTCAGGGATGGAGTCAACTCATACTGGTGTGACAGCCAAAATAACCATGAAGGCAAACATAACTTTAAGGGGAATGAATATGTCGGCACAGTCCATTACAGACTTTTACTCATTGGAAGCATCTAATGCAGCTACCTACTCATCACTTTCATTACCAAGTACAGTGAAGCCTTCTGATGTACTTCACAGCACAGCCAGCCCTACTGTCCTTTCCAAACTCATCTCATCAACAGATTTTCCAGCCACTCTTCAAGCATCAGTAGTTACATCACATACTGTCAGTTCTACCACATCTATAACTTTGCCCATTACGATAGCGACTCCAACAACCCTGCTCAGTGCAAGTCATATTCCAACGCATTCTACGTTATTAACACCCACTTCCCTAATGGTAGTTCCATTTCCACTTGAAACATCGATCACTCAGCTAGGAACTGTTCCCCCTACCTCAGCATTAACAACTTCAACCTCTAAGCCATCTTTTGTCACTTCTGAACTGCCTGGAGGGTTTGGGAAGAGTAGGAATCCTTCAGTAAATCATTCTAAGGGAGCAGCGGTATCATCTGAAGTGTCTTTGTCTGCTTTGCCGGCTGGCAGAGCAACTTTCACAAGAGCTGTACTTCTAGGTTCAGGGTTGTCACTAAACACATCTGCTTCTGCTGTATCTACTTTGCCTCTTAGAACTAGGTCTGGCATTGGTCAAATTGCAGTTCACCCGACACCCATTTCTGCACTGACTTCAACTGCTCCTCAAATTCCTATGACTTCTAGATTTGCTAGTTTTGAGACACGTTTTCCTCATTTAAATACAGCTTCATATTTTGCAACAGTAAAACCCTTGTCTAAAACTTCTCTGATATCTTTGAGTGCAGATTCTTTAACTAGTTTTTCTCCAAAGCCATTGTTATCTTCAGTGGAATTTCAGTGACTGTTCCCAAGTGGACATCTCCATTAATAAAAGGCAGTATTTCTGCTGTTCTGCCCATAACGACTGTGTTTTCACCTCAAGCTGTTTCTGAAGTCCCTATAAACACTTCTTCAAGTCCTTCTCTAACACTCACAGTACCAGTGCATTCTCTCATTTCCTCCCTGAAGCCCAAAGCTATTGCAGATGTCACTGTTGTCTCCAAAAATCTTTATAAAGTACCTTCCGCTACTTCCACTCTTCTAGTCAATCCAACAATCTCTGATACGTTTATAGCAAGTAAAGCCTCTACAGAAAGTAAATACATAACGCACACTGATTCCTTTTCAGTGTCATCCATTTCTAAAAAACCAAAGAAATCCATTAGATCTACAGCCTTCCCTCTTAGGACATCGGTATTACCTCCAAATGCTACATTAATAACCACTTCAGAAATTACAGAGCACCCAAGAAGTTCACATACAGAATTGAAAATTGACCCTGTGGCACAAAGTTCAGGCACTTTCGTTCCTAAAGATCCTTCTCTTACAAAGTCATCATCTTTATTTACAATCTTGTTATCAATATCAGTACCATCTTATGTGACAACTCATAATACAAGTTCTTCATTGATTCCCATAGTCAGTAGGACACCGTCATTAACACAAAATATAACTGCTACCCAAACATCAGTTTCACCTCTAGATACACAAGGAGCCTCAAAAAGTCCAGTTACAGACTTTGAAACTTCTTCTGTAGATTTTTCTACATTCACTTTAAACGTAAGCCCTTCTACTAACCTTTCAACAACAGTAAAAACATCCATTACAATGCCCTCTTTACTAATGCCTACAACTCCTGAAACCACTTTAGAAGACCAGTCCAGTAGGGTCTCTATGTCTTCACCTCCTCCTAAGACAACTCATATCTCTACTGTTTCTCTAGGAAAACAGAGTTCTTCAGTAAGTTCTTCAGAAGAAGATGGAACAACATCAGCTGGAATCATCACTCAATCCACTACACCAATGATCATGAAAACAACAGTGAGCGCTACATCCTTAAAAGGACCGTATATTTTTGAAAAAATACCACCTAGCTCTTCAGCTAGTTTATTAGTTGCTTCTGGCGCAACTGTGGCTTCTGGGATTACTACAAAAACCAGCGATTCTTTTGTTACTGATTTGGAATTTTACATGGCTTCAGCTTCAGTTCCTACCAGCGTAGAAACACCTATGCATGTGTCACACCAATTTTTATTTACATCTGCAGTGACTCAAGCTTCTCAGAGCAGTAAAGAAACTCCAAAAATGATGATCATTAAAACAACTGGTACTGCAAGTCCATTATCACAGATGAAGAGTACCTCATTTACAGCTTCAGAAGTTAAATATGCAACCTCATTAGAAAGTGGTCAGACTTCAGATGAGCAAAGAAATGTTACCAAGACAAAGACAACCGAGAAATCTTCCCTGCCTTATTTGACAGTATCTGCAGTTCAGAGTTTGTCTTTTTCAAAAAATACAACCTCAGCAAAAAACTTCTCTCTTTCTGGAGTACTGGATGTAACAATGTCAGATTGGTCCAAAATCCCAACACAGAAACCCATTAAGCCTTATTTCAGTTTAACAAAGCCCACAGAGCTGCAGATCAGTGGTGGAATGGCTCTGTCTTCCCCTTCAGAGCCTGTGAAAACACAAGCTTCTCTGGCAAGTGCAGAAACAATGACAGCTACAGGTGACAAGGCTTCCTTTGGTACAATGATGCATACGCTGATTTCTACATCTTCCAAATGTGTGGTATGAGCAGTTTTCCTTGCCCCTATGTGTTAAAATATATGTAGCTTTTCAGTCCATTCTGTTATGATATGTATTTAATACCAGAGATTTTTAAATGTCTCCCAATTTTGTTTTTATTTGTATATTTTAAAATACTCAATTATTCTTAGAGGATTGTTGTATTGCTGCTCTTATTACTTTGGACTATAATAGCTTATAAAGCTATTTGCTGGTTCTAGACAGTAAATATATTTCTGAGGTGCAGAAAAAGCCATATACATGGAATTTTGGGGTTTCTACATAATCTTACCCTGTCTGTCTTTTTGTCCATTTGTTTTTTTGTCATAGCGCTTAAGACGACGGGAGTTCACAATTCTGTACTTCTTAAAATGCTTCAGATATTATTATTGAATATAGTATGTAGCCTCAATGCATAATGCTTTACATAGAGCAGTCAGCCAAAGCCAGATGGGACAGGGTGGTGTGGGTGAAAGGATGTGCATCATTGTCACCTGTTACAACTACACAAAAGCAATTAATTCCAAAATAACTGATGAGGGGTCATGTAGATACACTGATTCTGTCTGAGAGCAGAGTCCTGAACAAGTGATAGTTGGAGTTTGTAAGGACAATGAACGTAAAGTTGATTCTGGCTGTTTTTTCCTTGTACAATAGCCAAGATACCTTGAACCTGTTGACAAATGTAGCCAGTACGTATGTGTTAACACGGGTTGGATGTTATACAACCTTTCAAGGAACTGCCCTAAGGATGTGCAGAAGCCAGACTGTGGTTTTCGAGGAATGCCAGTTCAAGTTAACACTGATAGTTGTTGCCCAGAATGGGAATGTCCCTGTAAGTCACTGTTTTATTTTTAAATACAACACGCAGCCTTGATCTGTAAATTTTAAGCAATAAATTAAGGATTTATTACAGGGGGATACGAGGTTGAATACTGGAGTGAATTTAAAAGAGCCGTTCATCGGCAAAACAGAATGATATACAGTGAATGTCTTTGAATTAACATTCAAAAGAGTAAACATATTTTGATTTGAATGAAAACATTGAAATTAAATCTGCAACATGAACATTAATATTTTCTGCCTTAAACTTTTCAGATTTTGTCTCAGTAGAAATGTTGAGATGTCAACATTTTGTGAAGAAAACAAATTAAATACTGGCATTTTCTGAAAGACAGAACCCCCAAATTTCAATTAACTCTAACTGTAGTTTTTGCTAATATTTAGAAACTTCAGAAACTGGCAGATGACTGACTGCTGAGGGAACAAAAAGGCCAAAGAGAAGTCATATTAAAAACCCTGCAATGTTACTGAAACCAATATTACACTGTTAAATATTTGTCCTCAAGATAGAACAGATCAGTCTCTTGTTATCAGTATCTCAAAAATATGTATAAGTTAATGCATATATTTTATCTGACAGTAATTCATTAATCTGACAAATATTCATTGACTTTGCCCATAAAACCTTGGCTAAAGTAAAAGTTTTCATCAATTTAATCTTTCTCCCCTACCCTGGAGACATAGCAGTGGGTCAAGGTATTTCCACTCAGTAACATAAACTACTTTTTTCTGCTTATGGCTCAGTATGCTGTCTGCAGAACAAGGTCGTCAATATATATGGGAACATATGTCATAGGAAAGCAAATATTGCTAAACCTGAAAGTTTTTAGAAATGCCTTGCATTTGGTTTTATGGTAACCTCATTAAATGACAGTTATTTTTTAGGTCAATGTTCCGTACTGTCTGAACTGAGCATTATTACATTTGATGGAAACAACATAGCCCTCTGTAATATGGCTTCCTATATTTTAGTCAAGTTACCAGGAGAAACTATCGTTGCTCATATTGAAAAATGTCCTGCTAATCAGGTAAGATTCTTGCATTTCCACAATAATTGTAATGATTTCTTCAATTTTTGTGTCATGAGTATGAAACTCTCCAAAAATATATCACTTAAAGCTTTCAGATAAAAGTCATACTCATTGAAAAATCTTTATTTAATTTTCAATTATGCCTCATCATGCTGTCTAGCTAAATTTTATTTTAGGTAAAATAGTAATTGTTGTATTACGTTATAAGGAAATTCAAATGTAGGTTCCTTTTAAATTATCAGAGGTGATGTAACTTCAGACCTGCAAATCTTCTTCAGGCCCTGAATTTATACTTTACCATATGGTCATATATTACATATTTTGAATAGTCACAAAAATCTTTTGTAGTTACTTTAGGAAGGTCTCGATGAGTTTGGGATTAGTGCGACGAGTTGTTCTTTGTAGTTGTCTAATTCTCTGCATTGCCTACAGAGGGGATCCAGCCTCTTTATTTTTAAACTTTATTTTTAGTTTAGGTCAGGTCAGTCTCATCCTTAGAGTCTGTACATACGTTTCATTTGCATCATCCGTAGTCCTAATTTATGCAACCCTTGAACGACTGGCTTGTATTGCCATCTTTGGTTTGTGGATGAACAAATTCCTGACGTGGACCTTCATCAAGCTTCTTTCCTTCCTATCCCTATTTAGTCTCTTATCTGCTCTCACTGGGCAACTGTACATCTGATTTTTAAGTCCTGAGTCTTACACCATTTTAGAGGTTTTCTTTTATATTCCTCTCTTTACTGTTCTTGGTGTGACTGCAGCTCCCATAGGCAAATGAGCTTTAGAAGTCTGTAGCTGTAGTTCTTCAAGAAATATTTTTGAAAGGGCTTTGCAGTATATGCTGACTCTTGTGACAGTAGTAATTAATTGCTCTCGGTGTTAAAGCTGTTTAGGTAAAAGCCAGCTGAAGTATGGTTTATAGAGCTACAATCTTGTGCAGAAGGATGCTTTGGTAAAATAGGAGTTTTATGAAAGTTAGGGCAGGGGATTTTATTGGCCTGACTATTTTATTTCTATGTATTTTTAATTCAACTTGTTCAGGAAATTGTGTTATCTGTTCTGTATTATTTTCACATAAGCCTCCTTGATTTAAATCTTTAACAAGAAAGGTGCACTACATTGACTGGGAAATGTGTGGTTTTTATTATTTATAAGGAATACATTAAATTAGTTTAATTATGAAGCTGATTGTAGAACTTCAAACACAAAAAAGTCACCTTATTTTTGCCAAATAAGAATGTTACTGATTATCATTACACTTCTAATGTATTTTTAATGTTTTCCAGAGTGCAAATTCAATAAGAAAACTAGTGAGTACTTTTTTTGTTTACTAATTATAAAATATATTAGTATTACACATATTGAAAAATTTCCTATAGCACTGGTACTGGTATAGGAAAACAGTAGTAACTAAACTTGTTTGTCACTTTTCTTTCAAGGTTCCTCCTGCCAGCACTTCAGGGCTCTGTTTTAAGAAGTTAAATGTAACAACACGCACACATAAATTACTTATCAATCGTTTAGAAAGAAAAGTAAGTACATATCACCGGTATATAGCACGTGTACACTTAAAAGATAGCTGGAGAGCTATTCTGGTGTAGAATGCAATAGATCAGACTTATGATGAATGTACTGCAGGATTAGGGTTACTTTTGCAGTTCAGGTTCCCAGTAATTCATGGTATGCTTGAAGCAAAAAATATGCATTTCTGATACCATGCTTACATGTCGTTTATCTGTAATGACACTGTAAAGTTCTTTTGAGATTTTAAAGAAGCTGCAAAAGGCATTTATACTTGAGACTATATTTCCAGAAATCCTAGAACCAGAAAGAAATGTTCCAAGACATGATAAATACTTAAGCCGCCTTTCCTGCTGGTCAATAACAGGTTGGAACAGATAATTTTGAATAATTAGGATGAGGGGTTTTTGTGTTTTGTTTTATCATACAATATGTGATAAATAAGCATTATAACTTCCTTAATTAGAAAAGATTTTTGTATAATTTCTTTTTCTCATGCCTACTTCATTTGCAGTTATAGGAAATGGCACTGATGGGAAGCTTTGTGATTGTGACTGTTATTGTATGTGGCAGAGGCTGTAAAAAATATCTTTTGCTATAAAATGCAAAGACATAAAATACTTCTTCACAATCTTTTTTTACCCCTAAAATCTATTTGGTTTGTTTAAGGTAACAGTGGATTCTGTAATTCAATCATTACCATTTTCAAAAGAAGGACTGAGTATTCAGGATACTGGTGCAATGTATGTCGTTAATACCCCAGCTGGTATTAGCATCAAGTGGGCTCACTTTACAGGCATTATAGACATACAGTATGGACCACACTCTAACACATCAATGAAGACAGAAGGACTTTGTGGTGAGGCAATATTTTTCTTATTTAAGAATTTCCCATTCAAAATTTATACCTCCCTTTTGTGTCTATGACCTGCTCTATGACCCTGCAGCTCTCCTTGTGACTCCCATTAACTACACTGACAATCCTGTTTGAGGTGAATTCTATTTCACCTCTATGTGAAATTCTATTAATTCATAATAATAAATCAATAATTCCTTTTCAAAGCACTGCTTGGTAATAAAGTAGTTTTCAGAGCAAGTAATGATCAGTACATATTATTTAATTGACTTTAAAAAATGTACTCATCTCTGTCTGTGTTTAAGAATATTGTTTAAGTCAAGTAAAGAAAAGGTGAAAATTTTCAATGCAGAAGTGCCTGCATTCAATGTGCTTTGAATGTGATGCTCTGTCTCCAGGGGTGTGTAATGGAGATCCTACTGATGACCTGAAAATGCAAAACAGGACCATAATTACAAATATTGAGGAAATTGAAGTGTTCATTAAGAGCTGGGAAATTGAGAAATCACTTGATGTAACAACCAGGAGGCCAGTAAGAAACTGTACTGAAGATAACTGCACATATTGTATGGAACTGTTAAACAGAAGCATTTTCATCCCTTGTCACAAGAAAGTGAGTATGAATATCAGAGAAATTCCAGGTGCAAATTAAAGAAAAGATGTATAGTTAAGAAAAGAGTGAGAGATATGTGCACATTTTTAATGTTTTGCTTATTTCCATGAGTTGAAAACTGGATGTGTGGCTTTAACATCTGTCTTATACTTTCGTCTTATCGTTTATTGTAAACACACATCTATGTGGATTCCTATGCTATTATGCTGTTTCTTAAATTATTGAGTATGCAAATCTCAAAGGAGAGACACCGGATCATCATCTCAACACAAACACATTCCAGAAGAGTTGTTTTTTAATAAATGCTTTACATGGGTCACTAAAATGGAAAGTCTCATGCTTCTGCTGCATCCAACAGCAACTCATGCAGTCTGAGACTGATTGGACTAAAGAAATTTCCAGTTAAACAAATTTTGATGTAGTCACTATTACATGGACAATTTGGTAGCATTTGTCACAGAAATCATTCTTCTTTGTTTCTGGACACTGTACTTTCTAATGGGGATGTAGCCGTAGCGTGCAGACTGCCACTAGAGGTAGGTAGTGCAGCACAGCACTAGTGGAGGGTTTCCCTGCCCGCGGCAGAGGGCTTGGAACCAGATGATCTTTAAGGTCCCTTCAAACCCAAACCATTCTATGATGACTATGAATAGTCAGAATTCCTACTTCATAAATGTTTCCAGGAGAACTCTCATAGCCTCAGATACAATGCAATTACATCTTTTCCTGGTTTATAGCAAAACCTGATACAGCATCAAAATTGCTAAGCACTTGGTACATCCATTATGATTTTTTTTTTGTTGTTTTGTATACCTGCTGGTGGCAGAGCCAGAGTAGATAGATTGTATTGTGTGCTTCACAGGCATGAAGCAACTGGACAAGGTTTTATAGCAGAATCATCAGTGTAATGAACTTTATGGCAGAAGTTGAACTTTACGGCAGAAGTGAGTGACTGCTTGAAAATTTGCTGAAACCACAGGAAGAGCTGGGCTGCAACACAGTGGTGAACAGGCAGAATAAAACAAAATTGGACTTTTCCCATTGTCTCATGAGCTTATGCAAATAAAACCAACTAAATAATAGAGGTTGGACTACCTGCTTTTAAACCCAGTAACATAGGCTATAGACAGAGAAACAGAGCACTCAGTAATAAAGGTACAGCAAAAAAGGTACAGTAAAAAAGGTACAGCAGCAATGTTTAACTGAGATTGTTGACTTTTAGCTGAGAGAGCTATACTCCAAAAGTTCTTGTAAGTAGTGTGACAGTCTCCTTAGGACTGTGTTCTGTGTCTACTAATGAGCATAAAAATTCTGGCAGTTTAAGTTTTGCAGAATGAGTGTTCTGAAAAAATAGTATTTTCTTTACTTTAGACACTGCTTGTGATTTTTTTCTTGCTGCTGTATTATCTCTTGTAATCAATGATTTCTTTTTAAATTACAGAAAGCTTTTTTACTTATTAATTCTCAATTACAATATGTTCCTAGGTGTCACCACAGGAGTTTTGTGAGAAGATGTGGATCAACAGTACTTATTTTTGGAATTACGAGTGTGATGCCCTTTCTGCATATGTGGCTTTATGCAACAAGCACAACATCTGCATTAAATGGAGGACACCTGATTACTGCTGTAAGCAGATAACTATGTTCTGTACCTCAATGTGGCTATACACTGCTGGAGTGTTTAGTTAGAAATAGACTTCTTTCTGATATTATGGGAAGTATTATCTGATTCTATCACAGCATTAGTAAACTGGGATACAAGTTCTTAAGATGTATTTTTATGGTCAAAGTGTCATGAATCAGTTTTAATCTTGATTGAATGAATTGCTTACCTAAAGTATTGCTTAAAATATAAATACATTCTGTGACAGGCTCACTTGTTCTTATTACCTGTTTATCCAATGAAATGCTGGAAGAATAACAGCAGCATTCAATGTCCTGTTTTTATTACTTGCAGCACTGAGTTGTCCTGAGGGCAAGGAATACCAGCCTTGTGTACAACCCTGTGAAGCCAAGACATGCTTGAATAAATGGTTCTATGAAGATTCTCCCTGTTCCTATTTAAGGGAAGACTGCGTGTGTAAAAATGGCACTATTCTGCATAGAACAGACTCTGACCTGTGTATACCAGAAGAAAAATGTAGTAAGTGCAGCGGGACAGAGTGCTTTTGCCGATATGCTAATATTAACCACAGCTCAGTAGAAGAGATGTTTAAATTCTGTCAGTCCTCAGTAATTGTGGACATGCTACAGCTCCTTTCAACAAAGCCTAGCCTTTCAAACAAGCCTAGCTCAAGCTACAGCAGTTTGTGGTATCAGTTCACTTGGATTCAAGACCCCATGCTGATATACTTCTGCTGGGGAAAAATGATGCTTATTCTTCTGTAGCTCCCAGGCTTTATCTCCTGGAGTAATCAGGAAGGAATAGCATGGACAGGTTCTTTCCCTTGCACTCATTATTTACTTTCACCCATAGCAAAGCGTTTGTTCACTGGGGGTTTTTGAAGTCATCATATTTTCTTGGATTCCTTGATCATAATGCTCCACAGTGCTCTTATTTTTTTGCAATAATTTTATGCAATTCATAGTTGCTTGTAGGAAATCTACTCTCTCTACTTGTTGAAGAGATATGATGTTTTTTCTCTCAGCATGTACAGATAACAAAGGACAACCCCGCTCTGCAGGGGAGATCTGGAATGGGTCAATGAGAGGCTGCTGTATGTATAAATGTTTAGAAAATGGAAGTATTGTTGCTGTAGAACCTGAATGCACTGAGGATCCACCACCAGTCTGTGAAAGAGAGGGGGAAGTTATTGTCCACATCATGGAAGAAAGAGCTTGCTGTCCAAAAAAAGTTTGTGGTATGTACCACATTTTTTTTCAGTAACAGAAGTATAAGGTAAGTGCTTGACATTCACTAGCAGAAGGCAATCTTTAACCAGGATTTGAGGTAACATTTTCCAGAAGTGATTTTTAGGTACTTGTGGCTGATTGGGTCACCTCGTAAGAACTGACTCACTGAAATATTTTTTTTTCTTAGAAGTCCACTAGTGAAACAAAATAAACTAATAAATGCTCAATGACAGAAGGACCATGGTAATTGGGGCAGTCATCAGAGCCTGTTTACTTTTCCTATTAGTGCTTTCATGTCACAAGCACTATCCCCTGACCTATTGCTGCTTCCCCGAAGAAGTATTCTGTGAGCTGATCACTGAATACTAATAGTCTGTCTAGCCGTGGTTGTTAGAAAGAGGAATAAGCTTATTGCTCCTAAAATGTTAAGCAAAAGATACTTATTTCTTCATAATATCTTCAAGGAAAATGAGAACAAATGGTCCAGTTGATATGGTGCTTGTGCTTATTAAGGAATGAGCTACACTGTATTGTCAATTTGTTTAAGGAATGTTTTCACCGGGACATTAAGCTGACTTGATGTGTAGGAAGCAGTGCAAGCAAATACCTGTTGTAAGAGGGATGTAACTGTGTTTGTACAATGCCACATATACTATACTGGCCAATACTAGCCCTGGGCTGAGCTTGGTGGTCTACATGATGCTATAGAGTGCACTTTAAGATGACTTGGGCTGCTCTTAGTTTGTGGATCTCTACCCTAGATGGTATAAATATTTTGAGCTATAGCACTTGCACTATCTGTTCAAATATGTCAAAATTGATTGTTTTTTATTCCACAGAATGTAACATGTCATTGTGTGATGCTGCTATTCCAACATGCAAACCCAACGAAAAATTAGTGGTAGGCTACCACCCCCTGTCCTGCTGTCCACAGTACCGGTGTGGTAAGGGAAACACAAAACCATAGTTACTCGAAGATTTTCCACAATTGTATTATGTGTTGTAAGAAAATTTGCTTTACAAGTTGTTTTGATTGTTAACAGAATGGAATGTTGTAAATAGCACCAGGCAATGATGTATTTTTTTCACCCTTTCCAATATTTTTTTTTTTGTTTTGTGTCACTTTTGATTTACAGTCAATGTGGGGTGATTTTTTTTTTTTTACTAAGGAGGTGAAGAATGTGTTTTCTTTATCTTTTTAGTTTTGTTTCTGTGACTCTTTTTAAAATACTGTTTATTTCATATCCTACAGAATGCGATCCTTCAGTTTGTTTCAATGCTTCCCAGCTGGACTGCAGAGAAGACCAATTTATTGTTGAAGCAAAACAGGAAGATCCCTGTTGTTTCTCTTACCTCTGTGGTAAGAAGCCTCTAATATTTTTATGGAAAATTAAGGAATAGTTAGCATTTAAAAGAACAGTCTATAGTTCTAAACCTAGTAACTTAAGTTCAGAATTCTTGGAGAGGTCAGTGGGACTTCACACAGACCAGGCTGACTGGAGCATGAATTATTCTTGGGGTTTTGGATCTTTTCTTTCCAACATCATTTTGAACATCATACTTAACTTTGTTACAGTTTTATATTTGAATGTCAATCCATAAAAGCTCTATTATCCATGTAACATCAAATACGAATTGCTATAGTCAATTAAATAGAATTCATGTGCTAACTTTTTAGTATTTATAATTTTGTAAATATCTGCTTTTTTTTTTTTTTTTTAATTTAGTTTGTGAATCCTGTATTGAGCCTGTTCCCTTGTGTAATGAAGGGGAAATTCTCACTGTAGACCTTAATACCATACATTACTGTTGCCCTCATTACTACTGCGGTGAGTATAACTGTTGCCAGTTCAATACATTACCAAATTCAGTAAAAATTACATCCTTGGGGTAGAAATATACAACTGTTCATACATTAAAACACTTGTAATGTGACAGTTTTCATGTTGGTGTTCTGCTGTTGTACTATTTGTTAACATTTAGGCAATTCCTTTGCACTTTTAGCTGTTGGGGGAAGGAGTAGGCCAAGGCTTTCAAATACTGCTGGATTGACTACTGTTCAAACAACGAGCAGCCAGAAGAAAAATACTTGCAGCATAACATAGTCACTTTGCCAGCCTTAAAAAATACAGAAATTGCTCTGTATGTTCCAAAGTAATGTCTATAAGCGGAACTGCTTAATTTAGATCAATGGAGGATTCCTGTATTAATTCTTGTCCTGTTACAGACTTTGGGTAATTTCATTTAATTAAATTGTCTCCAGTAAGCTTAGAGCTTCATGATTTTTACTTCAGGTGGTTCTACATTTTGGGTTTTTTTGTATTTTTTTTTTACCTTGTATTGCGCCCAGGTGAAAGTTTCTGCAAAGGCTTTTGTCACTGTTTTTGCCAACTTTTAGCTGCTAGAAAGTTAGTATGTGGTCTTTTTTCAGAGTCCCAGTAAGCCTCTTCTGATAAGACAAACAAGAGTCATCCCAGGAGGGCAGTTGCTCCTTGTTATCTTACAGAAATGTGCTTTACAACAAAGCTGAGATGAAAAAAAAAAATGTTTTTGCAAAAGCTGTGGTTTTAGTTGTCTTTGGTAATGGTTATCAGCTTGAGTCACTCTGAAGTATGAAGAATATTAGTGATTGCTGTGTGATGTTTTCTGAAAATTTAAACTTGTTCTAAGGTGACTAAAAGCACTTTTGAAAATCTTGGTTTATTTTTCAGTTCCAAATATAATTGAGATACTTAAGAAACACAAAAAAAAATTATTAAAAAATACATTTTTAGAATAGTTCATCAAGAAAAATACAAGCTGGAAAATTCAAAGGAAATGTGAGTAAATTCTCACACCTGTCTTTTCTCCCCTTTAGTTTGTGATGAAAATCTTTGTTCTGAGCCCCATATGAATTGCACAGATGACATGACACTTGTGAAGGAAAAAATACCTGGGCAGTGTTGTCCGGAATGGCACTGTGGTAATTATTGCTTTATTTCTTAGTCAGTGCTGTAAACAAAAGCTAATAATCAGCTGACTAATGCTTTTCTTGTTCTCTCCTCAGAATGTAGCTGTGAAAACACTACTATGCTGACATGTAAATTGGTAAGCACTGTCCTTCATTTATTTTTATTAATAGCATTCCACCCTCTTACTCCTCCCTTTCCATTCCTTGTTTCAATTAGTTGTAAAGGGCGATGAGGCTGAACAGGGACAAGCTGGGACTTTGCCTCTCAGTCCCCAGCTCAAACATGTAACTCCAGCAAGTGTCTGCAGAGTGCTGTCAGCTGTTCCCTGTGGAAATTCCACTTTGTATGTCTTAAGATATCAAAAGAAAAGCAACTGTACTATTATTCTGTTCAATGTGGACTCGAAATAATATGTTGGGAAGTTTTTTCTACATAAACGATTCCCATTTTTTTAAAATAATTAATAAGGGATGAACATTATGATCATATGTATCATCTGGGGAAATATGTTATTTTGTTAAACATTTATGCTTTTAATTAAAATGATTTAACATTATTGAATTTAGCTGATATAGGAAGTCATAAATACTTTGCTCCTCACACACTTTCTTGTGATAGGGACTGTGATCTGGAAAATAACTGAGTGAATGTTCAAACTCCCGTTATTACCATGGTGACAGGGACATTTTCCCTATCAAATGCCTGTGGCTTGTCCTTCTCTTCCCCTTATGCGAAGAGTGCATAACGTAAGGCCTAAAACAGGAGATGCCAATTTAATAGTTTTCACCTATCTTTTGGAAGAAAATTCATAGAAGGAAGACTTCTGCTAATATATTTATTATTGAAATGACTTTCTAACTCAGGAAAAAATGTTGTTTAGACACTCCACTTTTTGTATGCATTCCTAGAGAAAATGAAGTGCTTTGCTCCTATTTAAGGAGATAAATACATTGAATAACTCTGAATGTGCTACTGTTTGACGAGTACATTGCAATTTTTCTCTTTTATGAAAGCTGGGGTGGAAGTGATGAAAGTAGTATTTCACATTTTTAGACAAAAACTGTCTGTTTAGCATTCAGTATAATTGTGCATGACTTTGCAAGCTCTCTTGTCTTTTTCTACTAAGGGAGAAGTTAAAAAAGTAGATAGTAGCATCTCCAGTGCTTGTGGATGCACCCACTACATTTGTGGTAACTTTTTCATATTCTTACCTGTTTTGTTTTAGTTTATAGCAAAAAGGACATGCAAAGAAAGCAGAAATAGGACCCTAATAACCTTCTCAAACGTAAACACTCTTTTTCTTGATTTTACGGGTGTCTACCTAGTTGTGCAATTATGCTCTCTTACCTGAACATGATGCTTTCTCTGCTAGGTCTAGTTCTAGTTCTGCTTTCTCATCCAGTTTGTGTCTGTTGTGGCGGGGGGTGTAGGTGTCGTAGAACTGCCCAAGCTTTCAGAGTCAGGAACGGTCACTGGTGAGAGGCAGGTAGGAAGCAAGTTGAGAACCTTTGCTGAATGTGAGCAGCACGACTGCCCCTGGCCCACTGTCGAGCATGGAGGAGCTGACATCTCACACCAGAGCAACAGACCTGTCCAGCCAGTGTGAGGGTAGATGCCCAGGCTTAAGATGGGCTCCCCCTCTGCTCCCTTCCCTCACTCCACTACCCCATGTAGACTAAATTTCAGCTGTACTTTGCACAGAGGTGCTTGAGGTACATTGCAAGCCTGACTGCAGCACAGGCTAAACTGCCTCTGGCAGCAAAGTACATGGTCACAGTACAGCTTAAGAATATTACTGTCCCACAGCTAAATGTAAACTTACTAGCCTAATTGACAGAAAGGCTACACTTTGTGATGTGCAGAATAATTCAGATATTGTACTTAGCCCAAGTATATTTAGAACTCTTTAAAAATAAGAAGAACTGATTATTTTTTTTTCTTCCACAGTAGGAACATTATCAGTTTTAGATAGTTTAGCATTTTGTAGCATTTTCTTAAGCTGAATTATACCTCCCCATCCTTGGTTAGCAATTAAACCCACAACCAATCAGGTCTAACAATTAGAAAACCTTTGCAGAGCATGGGACTTTGCCCTGCTTCTGTCTTCAAGGATTCTGTTAATTTGCTTGATGATTATTTTTTTTCCGCCTCTGGTAACATCTATTTCTTTTGGTGTTAGAGAAGGATGATGTGTGTATCTTCCAAGAGGTGACAGTACTGAATCCTGGGCAGTCAGTGATTCAGTACTTGGATGGAGACCTTTGTTACACTGCACAGTGCTTACAAGAAAAAGATCAGAACACGGGATACAATGCGATGCATTTTACAATGGTGAACTGTTCCCAGCAATGTGAAGCTGTGAGTATTCTTAAAATACAGGAACAATGCAATTAATGAGCACAACTACACAATTAGGATAAAAGTCAAACTGAAGACTTTTGCTAGTCCTGTTTGCTCACCAAAAAACTGAGAACTTAACAGTGATGATATGTATCTTGTGTCTCCAGGATGATTTTGAGGGGAAATTTCTAGTAGCATATGTAAACATATCCATCCATCCATTTGTATGTTGTTTCTCTTGGTATTTTTAGTTTCAGAAATCAATTAATTTTCATACACGGTATGTTTATAAAATACTTGTTTGTTTCTTTTTTTGCTTTCCTTTCTTTCCAGCATCAAATATATATACCTTCCTCTAGTCACCATACTTGTTGTGGTACCTGTCAAAACGTGTCCTGCTCTTTTCATACCGAGAACGGAACACTAATTGTGTATGAGGTAAGTGCCTCTGGATAGAGACAGGAAATAACTCTAATGATGCAATAAACAGATGTCTCTTAGTTAACTCATGCTGTGAGTTTTGCTTCATACATCCCTACTGCTTATGCACTTAGGGACTATTTGTGGTATGTGATAGGAAAAAAAGTGTGTTTATTTAAAAACCTGCCATTTCACACAAGGTGAATACCTTGTTTCATTTTATTGGTTGAAATACTTTCTACAAAGATAGATGAATGTCATCATTTACTTAAGGCTGGATATGCTCTAAGTGCAGGATAGGGATTAAATTGTAACTCTAAATTATATACTGTGATTTAGAAGAGTTGGACACTTCTGAGTCCACATCAGGACCCCTATGTCCCCGTCTTCCCAGGGCCACTCTTCTCCCCGCCTGGTTTCTACAGAAGGGACACGTGCAAACTGAAGCACCGGGGTTCAGGATCCTGACAGTGCATTCCAGCATCCATGCAAAAGGAAATTTAGGTGTGGCCATGACCTAGTTCATGCTTCCCACTGCTTCTGGAGCAAAAGAAATTACTGGACATTTTCCCTGGTGTAGAGCCCTGTTGTTCTTCCCTAGGACACCCAGGCTGAGCAGCACGCTGGAGAGCAGAGCCATGGCTACAGGGAGGAGCAGCCACTGGGTATTAGAGGAAGGTCTTTCCCTTTGTTGCCTGTGGGTGGTTTGCAACAAACTTTGAACTCCTGTAGGTACTTACAGCATGAGGGCACCACTTTTACAGACATTTGGGTTTGGAGATAAAGCTGAAATATTTTGTCTTTCCTGACAATGGTTTTGTTTTATATATTCAGGAAGGAAGCACCTGGAGCTCCAACTGCACCAACTACAAATGTGCAAAGACTGCTGCGGGGGCCATCATGCTGGGATCAAGTGTTGTCTGCCCCCCTTTTAATGACACTGAGTGTACAAAGGTTTGTACTTTGGGTCAGGTAAGTGACAAGAACTGATTTGGAGTTTGGCTTACACTTGGTAACGCATGCACACCTCATGCACTTTCTTTAAACTAAAAAAGTGGTAAGTAAAAACATGGAAGTAAGCAATTTGAAGTCTTGTTTTCTCTGTTCCTGTTTGCTTTTTGTCTGGCAAAATATCTGTGAGGAGTATGAAAGTTTGGTTTGGGTCTTAATGATGACTGCACTGAGATCATTGTGGAATTTGAGTCATGCTTGACATACCACTATACAAAGTGCTAATCACCATGTCTTACTTTAGTTTGGAATAACACTTTGCCAAGTTTGTAGTACACATACACTAAATAAATTGGATCAAGCGATTCAGAAATGCTGCATATAAAAGGAGGCTACATTAAAAATTCCTTAAGCTGTGCAAAGATTAGAAAGATGACATAACTATAAATTTTACTGTCTCTTCAATTAAACTTTGTATAACATAACAAAAACTGTCATATATGAAAGCAAATCTACCTACATCATATATCAAAAAATGTAAATTTGGCATATCCATATAAACTGGTTTGAAGAATGTGGATGCTTCAAGTACATTACATATTTGTTTACAATTTTAACTTCTAATTTAATACTTCTCTAGCTTTATAATGCTTCTTATAATTCTAGTTCTTGCACTTGCAGTACACCGTATATTTAATACTAGATACAAATAATAATAAAATAAATATACATGTAGACAAGGTTAGTACCATTGCTGCCTTGACTACAGATTATAAATTTAGCGTAAGTCCTACTTATCCATCACATTTGTTTAAGAAAGTCCTTATTTATTCCAATCCTGAAGAAGGCATTCAATCTAAAATTAATGCCTGTTCTACTTTGACTTTATGCTTGAGTTTCTTCCTCGGAACCCCTTTGTCACCATCTATTAGGATCCTTCCTTAGTAATAATGGTTAAGATTTTAAAGAACAGAGCCCTAACATTAACTGCCTGACTCAGTCTGGCCTGTTTTTCAAAGATGCTGAGCATAGCCTTCACCCAATAGCCGAGGAGAAAGCTCTTCTTGATGGGCAGCTCAGGGCAATTTAGGAATATGGATTTAAGAGGCTGAGTTTAAGTGCTCTTTTAGGAAATTCTTCAACAACTTATTTTTTTTTCTGTAATGAGATAAAAAGTGCATGCTAGCATGAAAAGATGGAAGTTTAAGATGTCTTTTTTCTGTTGTTACTCAGCTGTTTGCTTGAGATGCAGTTCTGGGCTATGCACTAAAATTGTGGGCAGCTGTTTCTAGCTTGCACCCATTCTGACAGATTCTGAGTCTCTCTCTCTGTCTCTTGTGCTCTCTTTTAATTTCAAAAGGATATTTTATTCACTTTGAGATATTTTTTTGATATATTTTTACTTTCTAGCTAACAAGCAACCTTAGAAGAAAACAATAACAGACTATAATTGTTTTAGAAAAAGAATTGAGCACAATAACAATTCTGAAATTCTGCAGTTAAGGTTCTCTTTCAAAAGTGTGTGTATATACATACGCACACATATATATATTTAATCTTGTAAAGAGTTGCTTATCATATATTAATTTTCTTCTTGGCATATGATCAGCATAAATCCTTTTAAATCATCAGAAAAGCTGCATACATTAATTTTTTTAAACTATCCTAATAAATCTCAGTGGTGGAGAAATAGATGGTAGTGGATGATGTAAAAGATGCTCATAGAAACTTAGTGGCTTACTCAAAGGAAACCAGATCAGATCAGACAAACAGCGACGACTCATTTTCAAGTTAAAGACTGTAAAGAAGTTATGAACCAAACCTTCAGCTGATACATATCTGTATTTTCTTGATTTCAGTGATGCTATCTTTACTAGCTAGGCATCTTTAAAACATGAAATGTCTTCAGATACAATCAACCTTTGCATTGGGCACAGTCTTTTTTGATATATTTTCCTTTTATTTTCCTAGAATGGAGGAATTGTGCAGACGTTTAATGATGGCTGCTGCAAGACCTGTAAGTGATAAAGGCTGCAATATGTGCTAGTCTGGCTTTGGTTTTGGAGGGCTGTGGTTTTTAATCTCAGTTGCCGGGACATAAAGAAGGAAAAAGCATGCAGTCCCCCCCAAATCAGATAACGTCGTTGTAGTTACCTAACTATTCTTATTAAAAGGTCTTGCTTCATTTGGCTGCTGACTTGGTGATTTTTAACATTATTGTTCTGGAGTATAACCAAATCTCTCCAAATATAACCCATGGAAGAGGAAAAGTTCTCTCAATTAAAAGAATGAAAACATTCTCCTTATTGCTAAGCTGACTCTAAAATATCACCTATATAATTTTCACCATAGAACATAAGGATTTTCTCCCCTAAAATGATTCCTAGTTCGATGACGTTTTAAAATACATCTCCAAACATATCAATTTATTCTGTATCACTAGTACGTATTTTCTAGGGCCAAAAAACTAGAATAATATTTTTTTTAAAATCCCAAATGAGGAAAAGTTCTAGTAATACTGATGTCGCAACCCTTATATAAAATTCACATTGTAATATCTGAGAATACATTCACATGTTCTGAGTGTGTAACTTTAAAATATCATGAATTGTGATGGAAACTTATATAAAGATTTCATAAGTTACATACTTTTAAAAGTAGATTGACAACAAACTGATTTTCTCTGCAGTTCTGGCTAGGAAAGATTTTATTATCAAGACATATAATTATGTATGCATAAAAATAAAAGACTGTTGTGTAAAACTTATTGTGTGGAACGCGAACACATTGAATACCACAGAAAACTCTCCCCTCTCTTTTTGGCCTTTTTTGTGTTCCACATTAGAGTTAAAATATAGAAGCAAACTAGTGTTTGGGACTTTTTAGACAGATTATTACTTAGTAATGTTGAATAGGAAGTCACAGACTTGCAACCATATATTGCACAGAAAATTAAATAAAATTCAGAAGTGCAATGTATTGTAAATAATTTGGCGATATAAGGGGAAACATTCATATTTATCAAATACAGAACAATACTCAAGTTTCCAAGTTATGCAAAGCTTTGAAAGTGAACTGCAAGTATTGTTGTTCTATCATATCCAAAACACAGAAATAAAAGCTATTTTAATACAACAGAAAACTTTTTTAAAAAATGAGGATCAGCAGAGAAAAGTAACACACCAGAATTGTGCTAAAAGCTTTTTAATTGATATTCTTTCTCCATTGAGATTAGCTATCTTCGAAAATCTTCGAAAATATTTAACTAAATCCCCCCAAATTAGGTTGACTTTTTTTAGAAAATTAGTCTAAAGAATTAATGGCTACTGGTTTTCTGTTGACCAGGAAGATTTATAATTTTTGGCCATAATCTGTGGCCTCAGGAAAGGCATTGTTATACTTCAGAAATACCTGCTGAGGTGGCTGCTAAAGAAACCAGATATAATTCATACAATTATATGCTATTTTCTTTTTCTTTTAATTTTGTTTTATTTTTAACTAAAAGCATGTGCCCTGTGGTGAAGCAGTTAAAAACAGTACTTACAAGTAGAGCTTGCAACACCTTGGGGTTTTAATGGGAACAAATAACCTTTCTGAAAGAGCGTAATTCAATGCATGCAAAGTGAGTGCATATATTTAATTCTTACCTTGCCATAGAGACTCTCATTGCAAAAGTCTGGTTTACAAGGAAGCATCATTCCAGTTTTGTGTTAACCAGGAGAGTAATAAAGTTTAGGCCATCTTTAGTGAGACTTGAAGCAGCTGCAGAGTTTCTAAATTTGAAAGACTAACAGGAAAGCTCATCATCTTTTGCTAAAAGAAAGAATTGCAGTTGGCAGTGTAAGAATTAATGAAATGTCATTTTTATATAAATGTTTTTATTTTATGAGAAACTTATATTCCTAATGATTCTGCCAGGTTCTGGATTGGGTCTATTACCCTTTGCCATTAGTCCAGTAGTGCCTACTGGTAGTATTAATTGTGAACCAGGTATTATTTTTAATAATGTATTTTCTTTTTTTAATAATAGTGTAAGCACTGCTTGATATACGGGTATAGCTGTCATCACCATTACATGTCACCATGCTGTTAATGGTACTGGGCCTGATCCTGAGAGATGCTGATCCCCTGCTGGCCTCCCAGACACTGGTTTTCTAAAGCCTGGTGTAAAGCCTGGCTCACTGCTCAGCACCTGTCAGAATTAGGTTCAACCATTTATGGCATACACTGCTGATGGCTCTTCCTCCTCTTCCTTTCTGAAATTGGTTTTAACACATGAACTTACTGTACAGGGTAACTGTAATAGGAAATGTTACTTTAAAAATACCATCATCTGGAATACTGTTACCAAGAGATTCTAAATCTGATTGCAGGCCTCTGAATTTAATGATTGAACTGTTTTTGCCTTAAAATAGAGCGAGAGTGTGCATTACTGCCTGGTCTCACCTTTGCAGACATGGATTTATGCTGTATTTCTTCTTTGTCACAAATAACATGTTTTACAAAGTTATGAAAATGCTGGGGGGGGGAAACATACAATTACAGTTCTGCATTAATAAATACTCTTTACACCAGGAATTACAGACTGTTACAGAACTGTTGCATTATGATCATAATTCTTTGCTTTTAAGGATAGGTAAGTCACTGAAACTCCTTAAATAAGGAGTAGAAAAAACCACACCTGATACTGATTACAGACCTTCTTGACAGTTGAAGGTGGGAGAGAGAAAAGTATAGCAGCAGAGTTTTCGTTGGACATCAGCACCTTCTACTCTGAAGTGTCATATATCTCTCTATATGACTTGCAGAAGTAAAAAGATTGCGTTGTCTACACATATTGATACTGGCAAACGCTTGCTGATGGAAATATCACAGGGCTTCTTTTTCCTAAGTGTTGCTGAGGAAGAAAAACCAAGCTGCTGTAGGCCAACAGCTTCCATAGTACAGTGACCTGCTAGTTCCATCACAGAGTCTTGCTCGTTTTTTTATATGCTGCTTGTCCAGAATGGTTGCGTAGCAAAACTAATAGATTATTTTGATGAGTAGTGAAAATAGGAGATCTAAATAACTGCTGTTACACAGATAGTAATAACAAACAGTCTGATATGGACTGCAGCATGAAAGACTGCACATTTAATCGTTTCAGTATTATATTATGATTTTTATCATGTTAAAAAATGGCTTTGCACTGTACAGCTTTGTTTGTAAAATAAATGCAAAAACTATCAATATCTCCCAGAATATACTTAAAAATGCAGTATTTCCCTAATCCTAGGCCCTTACGCTGACTGAGTGCTACATGCTCCAGTTCTGGTGGTAAAAACTGCACTGTATTTAGCTAATATATGCATCCCTCTCTTTCAAAGCTTCCTTGAGGGCTGTCTTTCTCAAAAATACATTGAAATAATATACTTCTATTTAAATTGTAAACATTCAAAATATCATCAAGGTGGTTATCGAATTCCCAGCTTTACTTTCTCAAATGTTAAGTTCTGAACATTTTCTAAAATGCAGAATCAAAATCTTAACTTATGTTCAATATTCCTACTTAACACTATTCAAAACCACTTGAGACATCTTTTTTCTAATTGCTTATATTTGTGTTGCCATATGTGAAATTTAAAATGATATTAATATTTTAATATTTATATAATATATATAGCTTAATGCCTCATATGTGCCAGCTATAAAATCAATCATACTGGAGAGGAGATATTTATTAATATGAGGGGTTTCTTTCTAAAAAATTATATAATTATGGAAGTAATAGTTTCAGTGTGTACATTAATGAAGACAAAGTATAATTATTAAAATAATTTTAATAGTTTCATTTTTTTAGTAGGAAATACAGTCCAAAAAGTGTATTGATTCAGTATGCTTTTTCTGTATTTTATCAGGCAAAAAGGAAGAAAGGATTTGCCAGAAAATGACAATCAGGACAACTATAAGAAAAAATGACTGTATAAGTCAAAGCCCGGTAAGCATAAAAATGCTGTGTTTCATGCTGGGCCTATGGTGTACCATATCAAGGATTAAGAAGTGGGTTAGAGCTATCAGCAAGCAATAAAAAAATGCTGCTATCTTCTCCAAAGCAGACCTTTGACCCTAGGAATGTTATCCTACTCGTAAATGGAGTAAAATTAGCTGTTCCTAGGGCTGAAAGACTGAGCCCTCCTACCTGGAAAAACATCTGGCTTCAAATGAAAAGTACACAGCATAATTGCTTGTACCTAACAAAAGCACTGAACTCTTCACCATGAAGTAACATCCCACTCTAAAAGAGGAGTAGAAATGCTTCCACTTAGGATGTGATGGAAACACTGCTACATTCTTCTTTGAAGACCTTTACTCTCTGGCTGTCTTCTCCTCCACATAGCATGCGTCTCCATGTCATAAATTTACGATCCCACTTATTTATGGGTCTGCTTAAGACATCTTATTTCTCACCTTTGGTGTAGCCCCATCGATAAAATGCAAGACATGTCTGAGCAACAAATGTGCTTCTCGTGCAGCACTTAAAGGGGCAGCAATCAATGCAATATCTTGAGACTTCCAAAAGGCCTCTGGTAAGATTCTGATGATGAACCCAAACAGTCATAAAGAAAAAGGCAAAATATTATCACGTATTGAAGGCTGGGAAGGTTAATTTCCATCCTATTTATTTAGTTTTAGAAGAAGAGTTGGTAATGGGGGCGAATAAAAATGTAGATGAAATTACAGTTATTTGCCATAGTTAAGAGGCAAGAACACTGTGGAGAGCTTCACAGATACTTCAACAACTTACATTATGGGACAGCAATATGACAAAGATATGGTATTGACTAAAGCAAAAAAATATTAAAAAGAAACATTTTGTCAAACCTCCTATTTTTTTAAGCTAGCTGAGAAGGACCTTGCCCTTGCATCCAGTTCTGTGAAAACCTCTGCTAAAAGTTCTGCTGCAGCTGGAAGGGCTAACTAAGAGTTATGACATTTAGGGGAGAGGACAGGGAATGGAAATATTCTAGCATCTCTTAGGAGCTGATGGTGCAGTATGACTGGGGGTGCTCTGTGCAGTTATGGTCCCTCTACATTGCTGCAGAACTAGGAAGGGTTCAGAGAGGAGCAATGACAATGTTGGCCAGGTCATTCCATGAATGGCACAACAAACGATGCCTTCATTTTATGACTCGCTACTGTAGATTCTTTATCTTTCCTTCCCCCTCTACCCACCTTCCAAAAACACCTACCCCTAGCCCACCTCCAGCCGTATTACAATCCCCTTTCCCCAAGTATTTTCTTGTTCCCCACTTCCTTGATGGCTGCCCACCCTTCCCACATTTAATTAATTAATAGCTGAGATTATTAGTGTTTAGGATAAGGTCTTCCCCC